TCCCATCCAGACCTACGTCCCTATTCTATTCCTACACTTCCCGTGGTTAATCCACCCAACCTGCACATCCCTGGACACTACAGGGCAATTTACCCCTGGCTAATCCTCCTAACCTGCACATCTTTGGACTGTGGGATGAAACCAGAGCACCCAGAGGAAACCCACGCAGACACGGGTGGAATGTGCACATCCCCACACAGTCACCCGAGGATGGAATTGAACCTTGGTCCGTGGCGCTGTAAGGTGGCAGTGCTAACCACTGAGCCACCCATGTTGTATATGAAAGCTGTCTTTAGAAAATGAGGAAAAGTTGACTTTGGAATGATGTCCCTTTAAGACTCAACCTGCAAATGAACGAAGGGACCTGGTTGTTATCACATGGCCACAAGCACTGTTGCATTCATATCAAAGGGTGTGTCTGCTGATAACACTGCACTGTCTGTGTTAATTTAGCTCTAAATAAGCCCAACAGAGATCTTCAGGTTAACAGAATTTATGTACCTGATTTACGTTGCATTTAGATAACACTGAACTATTATTGCAAAACCCACACCGTGCGTGAAAGCCCATGGACAATATTTGCTCTGGTCTTAGTGTTGGACCTGTGCTTCATTGATGTGGTCGCTAATCCATGCAGCGATCTGCCTTGAGGTATCAGAGACAGTAGGAACTGCAGATGCTGGAAAATCTGAGATAACAAGGTGTAGAGCTGGATGAACACAGCAGGCCAAGCAGCATCATAGGAGCAGGAAGGCTGACGTTTCGGGCCTAGACCCTCAAGGGTCAGCCTTCCTGCTCCTCTGATGCTGCTTGGCCTGCTGTGTTCATCCAGCTCTACACCTTGTTATCTCTGCCTTGAGGTATTGCTCAGTGCCACATGGTGGGGCTGTTAATCCACTTTCTTCATTGCCTTCAGGTTTTGGAGTCAATCCAGAAACTGACTGCTCCAGGCCATGTTCAATTTTAATAGAAATAGACTGAGAGCCAAATAATCAGAGACACTTCACAGTCTCCTCGTTTAAGCTTCTGAAAGCTCTCATGAGTGTCCAGTGAAAAATGAGATGGAAACTAATTATCTCATTTCATTTGCCCCTCCATTTAAATTCCATTTTAATACAATGCATCATATCTCCAGGATTGTAACGAATATTGGAAGCCTGCCACATCAACACTATTTATTGGAACAGGTACCACATTACTTTGATAACTGCTGACTCAGTCAATAGCCTGCTTCGGATTCAATTGAGCTGTGAATTATGTGCTTCTATTTGGCTGTTTGTGTCCCCAGGACATCTCAGAGCATCATGTACAGGTAAGGACTCTTCATGTAGGATTTCTGTTGTCACGCTAGCAAAGCGATAAATGAGGACTTGCATTTATCTAGTATCTTCTGGAATTCCTAGATGACACAAAGCACATCAAGTGCTGAATTCTGAGGAAGGGTCACTGGACCCGAAATGTACGATTTGTACGAGGGGGCATAATTTTAAGTTGATTGGAGGAAGGTATGGGGAGATGTCAGAGGTAGATTCTTCACACAGAGTGGTGGGCGTGTGGAATGCGCTGCCAGCAGTGGTAGTGGAGTCAGATGCATTAGGGACATTTAAGCAACTCTTGGATAGGCACATGGAGGATAGTAAAATGTAGGGTATGCAGGGCAGTTTGATCCTAGTATGATAATAGGTTGGCACAACATCGCAGGCCGAAGGGCCTGCACTATGCTGTACTGTTCTATGTTCTATGTTCTAGATGCTGCCAAACCTGCTGAGTTATTCTAGCAATTCCTGTTTGTGTTTCTGATTTCCAGCATCTGCAGTTACATAAAATAGAATAGAATCTTTGCTTACTTTTTTTTTCAAAACTCATTACAACTGATTACATGTTAGAGAAGTGTAGTGGCTGTCATAGTGTAAAATACACAGCTGTTGACTTGCACATTGCCCATGGAGGGATTAATAAATAGTTTAATCAGCTTATTGGTTTGTTAAGCTATGAATCCTGACCAGACATTCTTCCACCACCTTTACAAGAAGATAATTCCAAAGGCTCACAACCCTCTGAGAATTTCTTTCCATTAACAGTAAACATTCCATCCAAACCCACCAGTCAGGATGTTTCAATCAAGCCACCTCTTCTAAACTCCAGTGAATATAAACCCAACCAGTCCACTCTTTCCTCATAAGACAACCCTCTGATTCCAGGAATCTATCAAGTAAACCTTCTCTGCACTGCCACCAGTGCACTTATGCCCTTCCTTGAAGAAAGAGACCAAATCAGTGCACAACTACATTCTGCCTAATTTTTGGACGGAGGCCCACAGACCTTCAAGGTTCCTCATGTGGAAGTCAATGAGTTGACATGACACTGAGTATGTGTGCGATACCACGGAGCAGGAATATTGGTGCACAGTACTCCAGGTGTATTCCCCCAGTGCCCTGTACAATTAAGGCATAACCTCCTTACTCTTCTCATCAGTTCCCCTCGTGATAAAAGATGAGGTGGAGGTGCCGGTTTTGGACTGGGGTGGACAAAGTCAGAAGTCACATGACACCAGGTTACAGTCCAATAGGTTTATTTGAAATCACAAGCTTTCAGAGCGCTGCTCCATCATCAGGTGAACTTCGTCAGGACTTCATCTGTCAAAGGAGCAGCGCTTCGAAAGTGTGTGATTTCAAATAAATCTGTTGGACTATAACCTAGGGTCTTGTGACTTCTGATGATGATAAATGATAACATTCTTTTAGCATTCCTAATCACTTGCTGCTTTCATGATTCATGGACAAGGAGAGCCAGCTCTCTCTGTATCTCAGAGGTCTACAATCTCCCTCCATTTAGATAATAGGCTTTGTTACTCTTCCTGCCAAAATTATACTCTATTCATCACATCTTTACTCACCCACTTAACCGATCAACACCTTTTTGTATTCTCCTACTAACTTTTCTACTTCTCTTTGTATCGTCAGCAAATATAACTTCCATTTCTTCATCTAAATCATGTCTATAAAGAGGGAACAGTTGGGGATCCAGCACTGATCCCTGTGGAACAACACACATTCCAAACTGAAAAATACTCATTTCTACCTCCTCGCTGTTTCAGGTTAGCTAGGTCTGTTCTGTCTCAGCCTGGCCCAAACCCACATGTGACACCAAACCCACAGAGAGATAGGGAGGGTTGTGGGGGCTGGGGGAAGTAGCAGATAGGGAGGGATGTGGGGGCTGGGGGAAGTAACAGATAGGGAGGGGGTGTCGGGGCTGGAGGAGGTTGCAGAGATAGGGAGGGATGTAGGGCGAGAGGAGGCAACGGAGATAGGGAGTGGTGTAGGGGATACAGAAGGTGATAGAGATAGGGAGGGGTGTAGGGGCCTGAAGAAGTTACAGAGATAGGGAGGGGTGTAGGGTCTGGAAGTGGTTACAACAATAGGGAGGGGTGTAGCGGCCCGAAGTGGCTACAGAGATAGGGAGGACTGTCGGGGCTGGAGGAGATTACAGTGATAGGGAGGGGTGTAGTTGCTGGAGGAGGTTAGAGAGATAAGGAGGACTGTAGGGGATGGAGGTGGTTACAGAGGTAGGGAGGACTGTAGGAGCTGGAGGAGGTGACCGAGGTAGGGTGGGGTGTAGGGGCTGGAGGAGGTTACAGAGATAGGGAGGGGTGTCGGGGGCTGAAGGTGGTTACAGTGATAGGGAGGCATGTAAGGGCCGGAGGAGGATAGAATATGTGAGGAATTAATCATCATATGGACAAATGTGGATTAATTATGGAGGACCAACAGGAATTTCTTGAGAAAAAATCCAGTTTACAGAACTTGGCAGAGTTTTTCAAACATTAACAAAGAGTGTTGATGTGGACAAAGCTGTTGATGTGGTGTACATGGATTTCCCAAAGCTGTTCAACACAGTGAGACAGAATTAACTGGGTGAAAGGTTATAGCTCGTGTAATAAAATGGGCAAAATTGGCATCTGGATAGAAACCATAAGTCATAGCTAATCGCTTATTTTTAGGCTGGAAAACAATTTGTTCCTGCGTTCCTTTTCTGAAATGTATTCATGATCACAATATTGGTGTGCAGGGGAAAATTATAACGTTTAATGTTATAATGTTGGGAGAGTTGTAAGTTCCTGTGGAGACAGTGAACATCATCTGAAGGACATTAACAAGTTGTTGTTAACAAGGAAATTGTTCCCATTTGTAAAAGCATTGAGAATGAGGGGTCCAGTTTTTAAGTGACTGAAGAAGCAAATGTGATGTAAGAAAGACTATTTCCCCAAGAGATAGTTAAGGTCTGGAATGCACTGCCTAGAGGTGGGGTGAAGGCAGGCTCAGTCAAGGCCTTACAGAGGGCATTAGGTGGTTTTTGAAATGAAAGGGGAGCATAATGGAACTGAAATAACTCCACAAAGGCCAGTGTCAGTCATTAAGTCACCCTTTATTTATACATGACCAGTCCTTGACTTTAGTACTGCCTTATTCAGAGTCATTGACCAGAGTGTCAGCTTCCCTGATGCTCTTCCTATTATCTGTCAGCCAGGGCTCCCTGATTGGACCTGGTTAACAGCCCCAATCAGGGAACTCATATTCCATGAGGCCTAGCTGGCTGACTTCATTACAATCACTACAGGAACTAATTCATGGTCCTCATTTGGATGACAGTGCAGATAGGAATGGCCTCCTTCTACACTATAATAATTCAGTTATTCTGTGATTTGAAGGAATGTAGAGGCTAGGGGAGGTTCAAGAGATAGGAATGGTTATAGGGCTCAATCCATTATGGAGTTTCTGCAATCCATGATTCTGCTTTGAAAACCTGGTACTGTGCCACTTTAATGCTGCTTGGGGCAGCACGGTGGCTCAGCGATTAGCACTGCTGCCTTACAGCTCCAGGGACCTGGGTTCAATTCCACCCTCAGGCAACAGTCTGTGTGGAGTTTGCACATTCTCCCTGTGTCTGCGTACGTTTCCTCTGGGTGCTCCACTTTCCTCCCACATTCCAAAAATGTGAAGCTAAGGTTGGACCAGCCATGCTAAATTGCCCCATAGTGTCCAGGGATGTTTAGGTTATTTGGGTTAGGCATGGAAAATACAGTGGTCTGGGTGGGATGCTCTTCAGAGGGGTGGTGTGGACTTATTGGGCCGAATGGCCTTTTCCACACTGCAGAGACTCTATGACAATGTCTATGGGTGAGAAATTCTCCTTTTGATTGAATTCTTTGTTCTTCAAAGTTACTGTTCAAATGGTCTTCAGTTAGTTTTCCAACTAAGATATTGCAGTCTTTTATTCACAGCTGTTACTGGTACCAGAGTATGATTTCTCCCCCCAACAGGGTGTTTTATCTGATATGACGATGTTTATGCTATCTCCTGTAAGATAAGTAACAGGGTGTGGATATGATGGCATTGCAGAACAAAACAGATATTTCTTATAACTAACTATAAAGCACAAGTGGTACATTTTGCAAGCACATACAGGTCAGGGCAAAAATTAAGCTTTTCTTTAGATTACAGCACAGGAGCATGTTTTCAGTGGAGCACTATGCTTCAAGTGGTCTAAGGTAAGATGGAGCACCCTGCGCTTTATATGCTCAGGTCACAAGTTATGATAAACAATGATATCAGGAGCAAGTCTTTTCAAGGCATTCTGACATACCAACCAGGAGACGGAAGACAAGCAGAAAGTTATAATTTTGAAACTATTCTTCTGCGTTTCCACAAAAGTCAAGTTCCAATTATTAAGTTATATCTTGTCTTGAATATTTAAAAAGTAAGGAACAATTTAAGATTGTACAACATCCCAAATACATAAAGCCACTGTATAAAACACCCCAGAACCCCTGAAAAATTCCCAAACATGACTATCATCGTGATTCTTTTAACTGGGCTAACAGCTCCTGAAGCTGATACATCTATCAGTTTGTACTTTCAATTAATAACTCAAGCATTTCAATGCATCAGCCTCACCAAGATAAGACAGTCATCAATAATTCAAATAAAACTTCATGAGGAACATCTTCACCCAGACAGTGGTGAGGGTGTAGAATCTATTCCCACAGGAAAGATTATGAAATCAGTTTGTTAGATGTTGGGGCATTATCAGACATCAACGAAGGCGATGGAGTATACAGCTGTGCAATTATGCAGCCACTCGGAGATCCTGTGCATGACAATCGGTATATCAATGCATTGGCTTCCACTTCTGGAAACCACTGGCACACACAGACTTCAGAGTTCCTCAGAGCAGGAAAAGAGAAATTAGAGGGAAGCTGAGTACTGACAAGTGACAGGAAGAGGGCTAAAGGAATCTTCTCTTTTTTTGTTCAACACCTGCAAGAGCTTGCAACTGAAGATTAAGGTTTAGGACATGGAGTAAAACTGACACATATACGAATGCATCAAAGAGAGACAGCACAGTATGTCACACAAAGCTGATCGTGTTCCTCATGGCATCGATTCAACAATGTCTCTGCTTTGCCTATTCTCAGACTTGGATCCACTGTAGCTTAGCTCCTCCTGTAATGCTCTGAATGTCATCTTGATCCTCTTCTTGAAGTTAAAGGTTGACCCATGACCAGTGAACACATATAAGATGGGGTTGATACAGCTGTTGGCATAGGCCACACTGGTGACTATAGGCAGCCAGGCTTTAAGTTCTTTGTCAGTCATAACATGTATAATGTTCAACACATGGAAGGGCAGCCAACAAACAAAGAATGCCAGTATAATCATACTGATAAGTTTGTACAATCTGGAGGGGACCTTCTTCCGCTTGCGTCTGATTTTGATTGTGATGATGGTATAGCAGGTAACAATGATAATAAAAGGGATAAGAAAGGCCAGAACAAACCTGGTCACTATAAAAGCACTGAGGATATCCATTTCCACTGTGTAGAAGCAATGGGTCTTTCCTATGAACGTGTCTTCTTTAGTACCACGGACCAGGAAGAACGGAAAGCTGGTGGCTGTCACCAAAATCCACACGACCCCAGAAACCCATTTGGCAAACTTAACAGTCCGATGGTTCTGAGACCAAGCCGGCAACATGACGAAGACACACCTGTCCAGGCTGATCACAGACAGGAAGAAGACACTCGCAAACATGTTCAGCTGGTTTGTGAAACTGACGAGTTTGCACAAGAAGTTTCCAAATGGCCAATGGCTGTTCATGGCTTGTTGAACAATGGAAAAGGGCAACATGGCAGTGAAAATGAGGTCAGCTATGGACAGGTTTAAGAGCCATATTATGCCAACTGTCTTCTTCATTTCTGTACTGGCAATCCATATCACCAGCATGTTTCCCAAAATTCCCAGCGGGAGGATAATGCAGAAAACTACCAGAGGCAATATTGACACCTCATCATCATCCAGGGTATCAGAAGAGTACATCTTGTAATCTAGCTGCGTCACATAATCTTCATCGAATATCAGAGTTGACGACATTTTTACCAACTTGCACTGCCTGCCTGTAAAACAAGTCAATATATCAGCAATACATACACAATGAAACCCCCAAAATAATTCAACAAACACAAGGACAGGGAGAAGCCAACAAGGAAAAGTAGCAAGATATCAACCCACAACCATTCAGACACTGGGGCATTCTCCTGCAAAGCAGAAATATTCTTTTTAAAAAGCTGAAAGAACCGTGGATACTGGAAATCAGAAACAAAAACAGAATTTGCTGGAAAAGCTCAGCAGGAGTGGCAGCATCTTTGGAGAGAAATCAGAGTGACCCTTCCTCAGAACTCCATGTTCTGTTAAACCTGAATTAGCCCATACTTCAGATTGCTGTTGATCATTCTGGCTCCTGATTTATACATATAGGTTATCGAGGCACTGGAGATGGTCCAATACATGATGGGAGGTAATAGCCATTCAGAGAGATTGAACAGGTCGGGAATTTTTGTCTCTAAGAAAGAAAAGACTGAGGAGTGATCTGATTCAGGTCTAATATAATTACAAGATAGTCACAAATAAACCCAATGGGGAATTCAGGAGAAACGTCTTTTACCCAGAGAGTGTGGAGAATGTGGAACTCGCTCCCACGAGGAGTGGTTGAGGAAGATGTTATCAAATAGGGCTCAGGACCTGGGGGATGCATCAGGCTGAATAACAAGTCCCTGCGACTCTGGGAGTGGGTTGGGGTATGCGTCAGCTCGGTGTGGTGGGGCCCACTGGTCAGGGGTTGGGTCTGCTGTGCTAAGGTCAGAGGTCAGGAATCGGGGTCATTGACCTCATGTTCGACAGAGGGTGTTGTCCTCAGGCCAGGGGTAAGTGACATAGTCCTCAGGTCAGGGGTTATGGCCACACTACTAAGGTCAGGCGATGGCCTAGTGATATTATTGCTGGACTGTTAATCTAGAGTCCTAGATAACGTTCTGAGGACCTGAGTTTGAATCCCACCACGGCAGATTGTGGAATTTGAATTCAATAAAATATCTGGAATTAAGAATTTAATGATAACCATGAATCCATTGCTGATTGTTGGAAAAACCCATCTGGTTCAGTAATGTCCCTTAGGGAAGGAAACTGCCATCCTTACCTGGTCTGGCCTACATGTGACTCCAGACCCACATCAATGTGGTTGACTCTCAACTGCCCTCTGGGCAATTAGGGATGGGCAATAAATGCTGCTTAGCCAGTAACGCCCTCATCCTGTGAATGAATAAGGAAAAAAAAGGGCGCTCAGGCTGGAAGCTGGGGACAAGCCTGGAGCAACACTGAGACCCATGATTTCTGTTATTGACCTCAGTGCCTACACATTTAAGAGGAAGCTGGATAAAAACAAGACAGAACAGAATGTAAGGATTAGCTGATACAGTGAGGTGAACTATAGTGAGAGGAGCTTGATGTGAATCATATATCCCAGCACACAGCAGTTAGTTTGAACAGCCTGTGGTGTAAAAATAACACTGTGAAGTCTATAACATAGGCACGTAGAAGCAGGATGTAAATACAAGTTTTATCTTTGATTTTGGCACTGAGTGTAAAATGTATAACTTGCCAGGCATTAATTTCACATGTTATGCACAATGAGGTGACCTCAAAAGAGATAACAGCTCCTTATACTGTGTGACATGTAGATTCAGCACTGTGACCAGAGACAACCACAACACATACAGAGGAGCCTCAGGGTTCTTAATTCATTCACAGGATGAGGGCGTTGCTGGCCAGGCAGCATTCATTGCCCCAGGGGCAGTTGAGAGTCAACCACATTGCTGTGGGCCTGGAGTCACATGTAGGCCAAACCAGGTAAGGGTGGCAGTTTCCTTCCCTAAAGGACATGAGTGAACCAGATGGGTTTTTCCCCCAACAATCAACAATGGGTTCATGGTCATCATTAGATTCCTAATTCCAGATATTTTATTGAATTCAGTTTCCACCATCCGCCGTGGTGGGATTCGAACCCGGATCCCCAGAGCATTATCTGGGTCTCTGGATTAACAGTCCAGTGACAATACCACTAGGCCATCACCTCCCATTCTGTGGGGCTTTGCGCACCAGGGAGTGATCAACAGAATATTCGACAAGCCGTATTCAAACTGCTTTACCAAGAGTGCGACACAGAGCAAAGGAACGATTCCAGGCAGAAAATCCTCAATCCACTAAGCTCAGCTCCACCAACAGCAAAACATTCCTCCCCCAGTGTGGGCACGTCTGAAATCTAAGAAACCACAGGAAAAACTCTCAAGGAGTCAAGAACAGTTTGAGGACGGAGATGGTATGGTTATAAAACTTTGCATAAGACAAAGAATGTTGGAGAAACTCAGCAGGTCTGGCAGCACCTGTGGGGGGAGAGAGAAACTGAGCTGATATTCCGCGTTCACGTCCTGTTGCCAGAACCAGAAAAAGGAGCGCTGTTACTTAATGACAGGGGATCTTTAAGGAGGAGACGTTACAGGCACCGGCTCAGGATATCCCTACAAGGGCAAAATGCTGGGGAGCTAAAGTATCACAGAATTACAGATATATTATCGCATAGAGTCATACAGCACACAAACAGATCCTTCGGTCCAACCAGTCCATGCTGAACATAATCCCAAACTAAACTAGTCCCACTTGCCTGCTCCTGGCCCATATTCCTCCAAACCTTTCCCATTCATGTATCTATCCAAATATCTTTTAAACGTTGTAATTGTACCCACATCCACCACTTCCTCAGGAAATTCATTCTATATGTGAGAACCACCCTCTGTGTAAAAAATTTGCCTCTTATGTCTATTTTAAATCTCTGTCCTTTCACCTTAAAAATGTGCCCCCTGGTCTTGAAATTCCTCATCCTAGGGAAAAGACACCTACCATAAACTCTATCCATACCTCTCATTATTTTATAAACTTCTATCAGATCACCTCTCAACCTCCTATGCTCCAGTGAAAAAAGTCCCACCCTATCCAACCTTTCCTTAGAACTCAAACTTTCCATACCCAGCAACATCCTGGTAAATCTCTTCTGAACCCTCTCCAGCTTAATAATATCCTTCCTATAACTGGGTGACCAGAACTGGACACACTGCTCCAGAAGAGGCCTCACCAATGTCTTGTACAACCTCAACGTGATGTCCCAACTCCTATATTCAAAGGACTGAGCAATGAAGACAAGCATGCTGAACGCCTTTTTAACACCCTGTCTATATGTGACACAAACTTCAAAGAATTATGTACCTGCACCACTAGGTCCCTCTGTTCTTCAACACAAGCCAAGGCCCTACCATTAATTGTATAAGCCCTACCCTTATATGTTGTACCAGAATGCAATACCTCACATTTATCCAGATTGAACTCCATCTGCCATTTTTCAGCCCATTGACCCATTTGATCAAGATCCCTTAGAAAAACTTCTGCACTGCCTACTAGGCCACCAATTTTGGTGTCATCCACAAACTTGCTGAACAAGGCTTCTATGTTCTCATCCAAATCATTTATATAAATGACAAACACCTCTGGTCACAGGCCTCCAGTCCAAAAAGCAACCCTCCACCATTACTCTCTGTCTCCTGCCATTAAGCCAATTCTGTATCCAATTGGCAAGCTCACCCTGAATCCCATGTGACCTAATTTTACTAATTAGTCTACCATGCGGAACCTTCTCAAAGGCTTTACTTAAATCCAAATAAACAATGTCTACTGCTCTGCCATCATCAACCTTTTTGGCAACTTCCTCAAAAAACTCAATCAAATTTGTGAGACACAATTTTCTTCGTACAAAACCATGCTGATTATCCCTAATCAATTTTTGCCTCTATAAATGTCCATAAATCCTATCTTTTATAATCACCTCCAACAATTTATCCACAACTGAAATCAGGTTCACAGGTCTATAGTTCCCCAATTTCTCCTCACAACCTTTCTTAAACAAAGGTACAACATTAGCCACCCTCCAGTCATCAGGCACCTCACTCGTAGTTATAGATAATGCAAATATTTCTGCAAGGGGTCTCATAATTTCCTCCCTTACTTCCCACAACATTCTGGGATACATTAGATCAGGTCCCAGCGATTTATCTACCTTTATATTCTCCAAGACCTCCCAAACTTCCTCTTCTATAATGTGAACTGATTTTAAAACATCAAAATTTATTTCTCTGCATTCCCGAGACTCCGTTTCTTTCTGCACAGTAAAAACTGACGCGAAATAGTCATTTAGTATCTCTCCCATCTCCTGGGGTTCAACACAAAGACAACCTCCTTGATCTATAAGAGGCCCAACCCTCTCTCTAGTTACCCTCTTGCTCTTAATGTATTTGTAGAATCTCTTTGGATTATCCTTAACCTTATCTGCCAATGCTATCTCATATCCCCTCCTTGCCTTCCTGATTTCTCTCTTAAGAACGCCCCTATACTCATTATATTGATAAAGAGATTCAATTGAACCAAGTTGTCTGCATGAAGATTCTCTTTTACTCTTGACTAGAACCTCAATACCTTTATATATCCATTGCTCCTTAATCTTACCAGTCTTACTCTTCACTCTAACAGGAACAAAATGCCTCTGAACTCTCGTCATCACATTCCCCAACAGTCTACTCCAATCAACTTTTGAAAGCTCGTGTCTCATACCATTAAAATTTGCTCCACTCTGATTTAAAAACTTTAACTTTTATGGAAGGCTTATCCTTTTCCATAACCATTTTGAAATTAATAGATTATGATTGCTAGACCCAAAATGTTCCCCCACTTTTACCTCAGTCACCTGCCCTGCCTTATTGCCCACAATAAGGTCTAGTTTTGCTCCTTTTCTAGTAGGAGCATCCACATATTGATAAAGAAAACTTTCTTGAGTACGTTTGACAAATGCTTCATCATTCAAACCTTTAACACAATGGCAGTCCCAGTCAATGTTCAGAAAATTATAGTCCCCCTTTATTACAACCTTATTATGCTTACATATATCTGAGAT